AAAATAATGTTTTGAATCAAAAATAATATGAATGTTTGAATGTGTGGTTTGAATGCAATGACATCTCTGTCTCTACTAGTGTTTGCGGGCCAACCAAACGACTACTACTCCCAACGCATACCCGATCGCAAAGGCCGTGGTATTCAATGGTTTGCCGCCCGACCCCCTCTCACCCCCGGCTCGTCCGCCCTCCGAGTCCTCGTCCATTCTGCCCGACATTTTCACTCACTTTTAGGCAATAATCTCTTGGTTTATATCACAAAAAATATAATTTAATTTTTGATTTATGACTTGACTGCAAATGTCTGATACGATAACCGTTTGATTTGACAACAATTTATAAATTATAACAATCAGTATCGAGCTATGAATGTACAATTGCAATCATAATTAAATTTATAAAATTTATCTATCACGTTTAACAATACTTACCCTCACTAATTTACACCACAATTAACTTTACATTTACATTTGAATTAAATAATTAACAACTGTTTCATAACATAATCACTGACTTCTTGTTTGACTATTAAATTGAATTATAAGTGAACGCAAAGAATTGGTCACAAAATGTGTCAAAATCAGAGACCAATTCTTAAAATAATGTTTTGAATCAAAAATAATATGAATGTTTGAATGTGTGGTTTGAATGCAATGACATCTCTGTCTCTACTAGTGTTTGCGGGCCAACCAAACGACTACTACTCCCAACGCATACCCGATCACAAACGCCGTGGTATTCAATGGTTTTCCGCCCGAACCCCTCTCACCCCCGGCCCGTCCGCCCTCCGAGTCATAGTCCGACATTTTCACTCACTTTTAGGCAATAATCTCTTAGTTTGTATCACAAAAAATATAATTAATTCTTGATTTATTATAACTTGACTTCAAATGTCTGATACGATAACCGTTTGATTTGACGACAATTTATCAATTACAACAATCAGTCTCGAGATATAAATATATAATTGCAATTATAATTAAATTTATAAAATTTATCTATCACGTTTAACAATACTTACCCTCACTAATTTACATCACTATTAAATTTACATTTAAATTTGAATTAAATAATTAACAACTGTTTCATAACATAATCACTGACTTCTTGTTTGACTATTAAATTGAATTATAAGTGAACGCAAAGAATTGGTCACAAAATGTGTCAAAATCAGAGACCAATTCTGGAAATGACAGCAATTTTATGTCTAATATTGGGACCAATTGTGTGTCAAACGACCACTGGATCCACTGTTAATACGACAGCAACGGTAACGCCATCGCAGTTACCAATTGTACAGATCCTTATCTACACGATGGTCGCGGTGTTGGCCCTCTTAATCCTCGTCATATGCTGTCTATGTCTTTGTCTATGGGTTAAAAACAGGCGAATACACATGAAATCTGATCCAATCATAGACTTAAGCGACGGACAGAATGTGACGAATAGGCGGCCATTGGGTGTCCCGAAGACGGCCAGTGATGATGGCATCGCGCGACAGAATACAGAGGATTACAGGGATAGGGATAATCCGGACGCCAAATTCATATACGGCTTATACGCGTCCACTCTCGACGACAAAGTGTTAGTTAAGTCCAAAGACAGTGACAGTCAAAGACAGGCCGACGATAGGGACACACCGTTTGGTAAGCGGCGGTCAAAGACAGCGAACGAGAGCACCGAAACCAAAGATCAGGACCGCAGGAGTGATATGTCTAAGAAAAGTGTTGTCAAACAGCAAAAGCCAAGTCCAAAGGATGGGCGGAAAAAGTCGACTAAATTGGCCAAAAATGTGTCCAAAACGGGATCGGAGTCGGGATCGCAACTCGAGTCCAAAGTGGTGTCTAAAACAGAGTCCAAATCGAGCTCTAAAACAGAGCCCAAACCCGGTTCGAGAACTGAGTCTAAATCGGACACAACAGTGACGGCCAGACAGGGATCCGCTCAGAAGTCCGATCAGAATATCAATACCGAGGCTGATATCGAGGCGAAGGTCCGCCGCATTATGAGCGCACAATAGGGTCATAAATAATGAATTATTTTTATTAACACTAAAAGTCTATTAATTTCTATATTAAAAACCATTTGTTAATTAATTGTATATAATTTTTAGAATTAAACATTAAAATGTTAATTATACTCATTCTTATTGTGTCAAAACCAGTTACTGACCAGTCAATGAATAGCAACACCAGTCCAGTAATTATTGGACACCAATATGTTGTGATCAAATAAAATAATTGTTTGTATTATCAATGGTTTGATTGTTAGCTCATTTAAAGTATTTTTCTTATGAATTGTAATCAAAAGTCTATTTCATTACTTGTTTAAAAAATATAAAACATGTATTCATTGCTAATTCATTTTTATTAAAAGCATATTAATTATCATAAAAGTTACACAAAAATCATATTATTATTGAAGTAAAGGATTATATATGAGTTCAGTCGTCGGTGGGAAAGTCATAAGAGTTATTATAAAATATAAAAGTTGTTTCATAATTGCGCCCGAATTTGTGGTTATAATAGTAATATATAAACTAAAACTAATAGTAAAAGATTAATAGATAGGGATTAACATATATTTTAGTTGCATTTGTATTTATCAGTCAATCGGGAGAATAGGCCACAAGTTTATGACATTTTGTGTTCGTTTCGGATCGCAATCTAACGCAAAAAACACAATTAAAACACAAAAAACTACCATGAACAAAAATCAATCAAGTTAATCATACTGTTTTCACTTCGAGATACTCATAGAGGCCGTCCTGACCGCCTTCGCAGCCGACGCCCGAGTGTTTCCAACCGCCGTATGGGGTCTGCGGTGTTATAGCCGTGAATGTGTTGACCCAGACGTTGCCCTTTCGCATGCGGTGCGAGAAATGCATGGCTTTATTAATATCGTGGGTGAATATACCCGACGCCAGACCAAAGTGTGAATCATTGCAGCGATGAATCACGTCATCAAACGTACGAAACTTTATGATCACCATAACTGGTCCGTAGATCTCGTCTTTCGCGATAGTCATGGTGTCTGACACGTCGGCGAACCTGTAGTGATGGGAATTATCTATGAATTTACCATTAAATAATCACATGATAATTGCCATACACTGTGGGCTCGATGTAGAAGCCCTTAGTGCGGGACCGTTTGCCGCCCGCCAACAGGTGTGCGCCCTCTTTCACGCCAACCTCTATGTATTTCATCACGTGATTGAAGTGATTGGCGTCGATCTGCGGGCAGTGTTTGGTTCGCTCGTCAAAGGGGTCGCCAATCGTCCAATTCTTGGCCAACTCGACCACCCGCTTGACAAACTGGTCGTAGATATGCTCGTGAACGTAGACACGACCGGCCGAGCAATTGTATTGACCGGCGTTTTCAAAACAGGATTTATTCTGGTGGCAATTGATCATGGTTAATAAATCACTCACAAAACTCTATGTCAATTTATGGCTACTCACGGCATGCATGGCCGCTATCTCGAGGTCCGCGTCCTCGCAGACCACGAGCGGTGAATTGCCGCCCAATTTTAGTGTCACTCGTTTCATGTTTGACTGTCCGGCCATCGTTTGGATCAGTTTTCCCACTTCTGTGGACCCGCTGAACGAAATGTGGTCGACGTCCATATGCGAGGCCAACGCAGCGCCAGCCGTGCGTCCAAAACCGGGCACCACATTGACCACACCCGGCGGGAAACCGGCCTCTTTGACTAGTTTGGCCAAATGCAACACGGACAATGTGGCCTATGTAATACACAAATTATATATGGTTAAGAAAATTTTTATACACAGCAACTATTTGTCATTGATTGAAATTATAATTACATGTTCGGACGGTTTGATGACCACTGTATTGCCGCAGGTCAGCGCTGACGATAGTTTAAGGCAAGCGCTGTACAGCGAGACGGTAAACTATAATAGACAATATGGTGTTTTGTAACAACATTATGATCTACCAAGCACATAGTATTATGACAAACTCACCGGCAATATTAAGCCGCACACACCGATCGGTGCGAACCGGGTGTAAGTCATGAGTTTGCCATCAGTGGGAATGGTATTGCCCTGAATCTTATCGGCCCAACCGGCGTAATAGCGCAGCACATCCACCGCCCAAAGGCACTGCTTTCGGGTCTGCTTGAAGTGTTTGCCGGTGTCTAAGCTGTCCAATGCGGCCAAATGGTCACAATCTCGCTCAACCAATTCGGCCAATTTGTACAACAGTTGGCCCCTATCCGACGCGTCAATGGTTCGCCATGTGTTGTCCTATTGGCCAGTAATATGATGATAATTTTAGGGGTTAGTATTAAGGTGATTTATGTTAGGTTATTGTATTTAATGTGAGGTATGCTTACATATTTAAAGGCATGTCTGGCCGCCTGTACGGCCCGATCGATGTCGGGTTTGTCTCCCTCGTGGATCTTACAGATCACTTCATCGGTGGTCGGGTTTTTTGCCTCAAACTGTTTACCGCCCGAAGAGTTGACGAACTCGTTGTTAATGAAGAGCTGGTGGTTATGAAATAAATCAATTAAATGGTTGTATTATTTACGGTGATTTTAATTAAATACAGACCTGGGTATATTTGATCTCTGGATTGCGATGCATATTGACTGATCAATTAGTTTTGCAACTCGTTTAAGCAGTTATAAGCAAATTAATTCGGCTTTGAAAGTAGGCTTTTAACAAATTACTGAATAGTTTGTGAAATTGTGTGACTTATTGAATGGTTTGTGGCCACTATTTATACCGCAAATTTTGTCTCATATCAGTTGGACTTATGTTATGTGAAAATTAGTTGTTTTTTGTGGGTTGATTTGACATATTATAATACCGTACTTATTTATTTCTTGGTGCATTTTTTCCACATCGCCTGATATATTTTTAATTAAATTTTTAATTAATTAAACTTTTACACTAAAATGCTATTTCTTACTTTATTTTACTGTATAAATATTCTGATAGATATGATGTTTATTAGTGTTTTTGTGTGTATTGTTTACAAATATCAGTTTATATTTAGCAGTCAATATGTTTTACATTGATTATTTTGCGAATTATCAAACTACTACTATGTAAAAGATTATAAAAAATAACCATGTTGCCTTGTTGTCTGTATTGGATTTTAAAAACATACATGTAGTGTATGGTTTATAATGATAAATTTAAAACGATTTCGTGTTTTTCATTGTCTAACAAAATATGTTTAGTCTTCAGAATTGTTATCAAATTATATTAATTTATTAATAGAAATATAAAATGAAAAATAATTTGTTTTTAAAAATTTTATTTTAAAAAATAAAACATTTGATAAATATAGAGGCAAGGCCAATTGGGTCCTAAATAACCCAATATTAACTGTCTTGATACCTTTGTATCCAAACGCGTGTTTTTACATCAGATGATATTTAGCATGGATACACCAACCATAAATTGTGAATGGTTAAATATAAAATAAGGTGTACGTGATCGTTATTATATTTACCAGTGTTATCATGTTATCAGCTAACAAATAATTTCATAAAATTTAAACATTGAGATATTTATTAACAAATAATAAATTTTTAAAAATTAACAGTAATTTTGGTAAATATTTAGTTTACTATTTTTGACGTTTGAATCAAAATAAAATAATTAAACTTTAATTTTAAATGAAAAATTACACAAAAGTTGTCAACAAATTTTAAAACAACAAATCACTCAATTATGAGTTCTTCGTAGCATTTTTGATAACAACCTATGGACACAAACATCGAGAATAAATTAATTATTAACAATAAAACACATGATAACAATTAAATACCGATTTCACTTCGAGATACTCGTGAAGACCCTCTTCGCCCAACTCTCTGCCCAAACCCGACTGTTTGTAACCACCGAACGGTGTTTGAGGTCCGACCGCCAGAAAAGTGTTGATCCAAACGGATCCGGCCTCCAGGGCCTCAGTCAGCACAAGTGCCCGATCAATGTCTTTGGTGAAGGCACCGGCAGCCAAACCATACGTGGTATGATTGCACCGCTCGACCACTTCCTCCAATGTCTTAAACTTGAAGATGGACTGCACGGGTCCGAAGATCTCCTCCTTTCCAATTCGCATCTCTTCCGACACATCACCGAAACTTTCGGTCAATTCAGACAAATAGAGTTTAAATTATTTATTTTATAATTAAGAATTAATTTCAATTGTATTATGACATACACTGTGGGCTCAATGAAGTAACCCTTAGTACCCCAACGTTTGCCGCCGACAAGCAGTTTGGCGCCCTCTTTACGGCCGGACTCAATGAGTTCAAGCACTCTATCAAACTGTTTGTTGTCAATCTGTGGACCGTGTTGTGTGTCGGCCGCGTACGGGTCGCCCACCACTCGTTTTCGGGCCAATTCTACCGCTTTTTGGACAAACTTGTCATATATGGTGTCCTGAACGTAGAGACGAGTGGACGCACAGCATGTCTGGCCCTGATTTAAAAACACAGTCTCGTGCTATATATGAGCAATAAATGGTATAATTAATAATCATTATTAATCAAAACTATTGATAAAAATACTGACGGCAACGGCGACGGCCTCATCGATGTCCGCGTCCTCGAAGATAATGAGCGGTGATTTGCCGCCCGTTTCCAGAGTCACGCGTTTCATATTGGACTTCCCGGCGGCGATTTGAATGAGTTTGCCCACCTCTGTCGACCCCGTGAACGCTATTTTGTCCACATCCATGTGCTCAGTGAGTGCCGCACCCGCTGTGTGTCCATAACCGGGCACAACATTGACTACTCCGGGCGGGAAACCGGCCTCTTTGACGAGTGCCGCGATATAGAGAGCGGTCAGTGGTGTCTGTTATCCAGTGAGTTAATAATAATTATTATTATAATAAAAGTTATAATTTATGTAACAGTAATTAAAATTAATGTATTTATGCGCATACCTGTTCTGCTGGCTTAATGACCAAGGTGTTACCGGTGGCCAACGCTGGGGCCAATTTACCTGCTGTCAGGCCTATCGGGAAATTCCACTGTTTATAATTTTAAAAAAGGACAATTATTTTGTTTTTAAACTCGTAGTAAAAATATACAAGACATACGGCAATAATTTGTCCGCAAACTCCCATCGGCTCGACTCGGGTGTAGGCGAAGTTGGGTCCGTCTGCGGGAATTACTTTGCCGTGCACTTTGTCGGCCCAACCGGCGTGATACCGTAATTGCCCCACACCACTCTTCACGTCACCCATCGCGCACAGGTATGGCTTGCCGTTGTCCAGTGTCTCCAATGAGGCCAAGTACTCAATATCACGTTCAAACAAATCGGCCAATTTATGCAATAGTCGGCCCCTTTCCGAGGCGTCGATCGTACGCCACAACGAACCCTATCATTGGCATGTTTTATTGGGATGTTTATTGGAAATGGAGTGGCTATGGGTATAGTTTATATAGATGGATTATTTCTTGATTTACCCGTTTGAATGCAAGTCTGGCCGCTTTGACGGCCAGATCGATGTCATGTCTGTCGCCCTCCTGTACTCTCGCGATCACATCTCCGGTCGCGGGGTTTACGGTCTCAAAGGTCTTCCCACTCACGCTATTCACGAACTCGTTGTTTATGAATATCTAAATTATAATATTTCACATGATTTAGTTTAAATCATATTCTGATAATTATATTTACTATACCTGAGTATATTTAATCTGTGGATTGCGATTAACACCCATTGTATACAACAATATGAAAGTTAATATCAAACTCAATGAAAGACTCAATAAAATACAACCGATAGAAGTGATCACAAGTAAAGACTTTTGAGTCAATTTATACCTCAAAATAAGTGCATAGCTTTACAGTCAGTACACAAAATAACATTCACAAGGTAATTTGTACTTTACTGCATGTTAAAATTTATATAATCTCAATGGATAGAGAAATGCATGAGAATAGATGCCAATTTTGAACTGATAAGGGATATTTGCTACTAGGGAATATTTATATCGTAAACGTAGGCAAATAAATATATTATTTCCAATATTAATTGTGATCATAATTTAGGTACAAATTAATTTTGTTTACTCTGAGTGCTTTAAGTTTGCCCTTAAAATATTGATAACAAAATTAAGGGCAAAATCATTTTATCCATTAATGACATTTTCAATGTTATCTGTATTTTCATACTTTACGTGAGTTATAGATTATGTTCATTAATTATAATTTTTATAATAATTTTTAAAGTGACAATTACTCCAGCTAATCTGGTGCCTATGAGTGTAAACTTATATTATGTAATCAATTACATAATTCTATCTACATAGCAACATGACCCTGCTAATTCATTTCCATTTATACCAATATTATTTTAATCGTTAATTTGAAAGTTAATAATAACTCGCAAACAGTAAAGACTTTAAAACTAACACCAAATTTGGTAAATATTTATTTCAATATTTTAAAACAAAACATTTTTAATCATTTTAACCAAAATAACAAAACAACAATTTATTCAAATTATGAATTCTTTGTGGCATTTTTGATGACAACCTGTGAAATAGGAACAAAATTATAACGCAAACAATAAAACACATGATAAAAATCAAATACCGTTTTCACTTCAACGTATTCGTGAAGACCCTCTTCGCCAAACTCGCGGCCAAAACCCGACTGTTTGTAACCACCGAACGGTGTCTGCGGCTTAACGGCCAGAAAAGTGTTGATCCAAACGGATCCGGCCTCCAGGGCTTCAGTCAGCACAAGTGCCCGATCAATGTCTTTAGTGAAGGCACCGGCAGCCAAACCATAGCTTGTATTATTGCACCGATCGACCACTTCCTCGAGTGTCTTAAACTTGAAGATGGACTGCACGGGTCCGAAGATCTCCTCCTTTCCGATCCGCATGTCTTCCGACACATCGCCGAAACTGTCGGTCAATTCAAACAAAACAATTTTTGCATTAAAATCAACTTAAATGTTAATTGTATTATCACATACACTGTGGGCTCAATGAAGTAACCCTTAGTACCCCAGCGTTTGCCTCCGACCAGCAGTTTTGCGCCCTCTTTACGGCCGGACTCAATGAGTTCAAGCACTTTATCAAACTGTGTTTCATCGATTTGCGGGCCGTGTTGTGTGGCCGACTCGTATGGGTCGCCCACCACTCGCTTTTTGGCCAATTCTACCGCTTTTTGGACAAACTTGTCATATATGCTGTCCTGAACGTAGAGCCGAGTGGACGCACAGCATGTCTGGCCCTGATTTAAAAACACAGTCTCGTGCTATATATGGATAATAAATTGTATAATTAATAATCATTATTAATCAAAACTATTGATAAAAATACTGACGGCAACGGCGACGGCCTCATCGATGTCCGCGTCGTCGAAGATAATGAGCGGCGATTTACCGCCCGTTTCCAGAGTCACGCGTTTCATATTAGACTTCCCGGCGGCGATTTGAATGAGTTTGCCCACCTCTGTCGAGCCCGTGAACGCTATTTTGTCCACATCCATGTGCTCAGTGAGTGCCGCACCCGCTGTGTGCCCATAACCGGGCACAACATTCACCACTCCGGGCGGAAAACCGGCCTCTTTTACAAGTGCCGCGATGTAGAGAGCAGTCAGTGGTGTCTGTTATTCAGTGATAAACAAAAATAGTAATTATTTTGATTACATTTCTAATCTATTGTACATGTATTTATACGCATACCTGCTCTGCGGGCTTAACAACCAGAGTGTTACCGGTAGCCAAAGCTGGTCCTAATTTGCCAGCTAACAGGAATAGCGGGAAATTCCACTGTTTATAATTGAAAATCACAATTAATTACTTTAAATATTTTAACTCGTAATAAAAAAACAAGACATACGGCAATAATTTGTCCGCAAACTCCCATCGGCTCGACTCGGGTGTAGGCAAAGTTAGGCCCGTCTGCGGGAATTACTTTGCCGTGCACTTTATCGGCATAACCGGCGTAATACCGCAACTGACCCAGGGTACCCTGGATGTCACCCACCGAGTTTAGGTATGGTTTGCCGTTGTCCAGTGTCTCCAATGAAGCCAAATGCTCGGTGTCTCTCTCGATCAAATCGGCCAACTTGAACAGTAGTCGGCCCCTTTCCGAGGCGTCCATTGTGCGCCACACCGAACCCTATCAGTCATATATACGGTATGTTTTATTAAGATGTTTTTTCGGGATGGGGTGGGTAGGGGTATAGTTTATATAGATGGATTATTATTTAGATGGATTATTTAGTGAATTACCCGTTTGAATGCAAGTCTGGCCGCTTTGACGGCCAAATCGATGTCATGTCTGTCGCCCTCCTGTACTCTCGCGATCACATCTCCGGTCGCGGGGTTTACGGTCTCAAAGGTCTTCCCACTCACGCTATTCACGAATTCGTTGTTTATGAATACCTTGATTATCAGGGTTTAAATGTTTTAATTATTATTTAATTTTAATGTTTCTAGATTTCTAATTAATTATTTGATGCCAATTTGTTTGTTTCAAACCCATATATTTGAATAGTTAGTTCCATATGGGTATAAGAGTAGTTATTATTAAAATTTAATTTACAAGTACTAATAATTTGTAAATTTCCCGTTGTCTCTAAACAAATTTTTATCATGTTTTAGATTATTGCAAACTTTACATTTTAGAAATAATTAAATTTGATAACTAAATAAAATATGAGTACATTTTTCGGGCAATTGTAGGACAAACTATCAATTCAATCAAATGATGCATTTAATGGCAGACATATCGATGACATTATCTACTATTTACTCGACTATTGATTAATAAATCAAATGTTCACTTCATTTGAGACAAGTGTTTATGTTTCTCATAATGTTAAATGAGATTAACAGCTATTATATTAGATTTTATTGATTGTTGCGAAATAGACATTTTTACCTTTTTACATATGGTATTTTTAAAAATTGCTTATTTATGAAAAATTCTTAAACTAAAGTAATAACTAATGTTTAATTTAGTTGTTATCATACAAATTATTTATTCAATTAAGAACCTGGTTACATTACATATTAAATTTAGTCCAAAATCGTATGCAAGTAAATCAATTCAACAATTAATATAATTATGTCTATTATTATTAATTAATTATTTAAAATAATTAACTATACCTGAGTATATTTAATCTGTGGATTGCGATTAACACCCATTGTATACAACAATATGAAAGTTAATATCAAACTTAATGCGAGACTCAATAAAATACAACCGAAACAAGTGATCACAAGTGAAGACTGGGATTGAAATTATATTTTTAAGTTAATTTATATTTACAAAAATCTGCGTTACATTACAGATCGTACGCATACACTATTTGTAGGTAATTAATCAATGCTTATAATCATATAAATTATATCATACAATCATCCAATCAGAGTAGAAAATACATGGGAATAGATGCCGATTGTGAACTTATCAAGGGTATTTTATTTTAGATATATAACATGCAGTACATGTAGGCAAGGAAACCCATTATTCCTAGTGATAACTGTTTGAATAGTTTGGATGCAAATTAATTTTGCCTACTGTCAGTCTATCTTAAAATAACGATAAAAAATTAATTAATCACAAAATCATTTTGTTTTACTGACAATTTCAATGTAATCTCTGTTTTACACTTTACTTAAGTTTTAAATGTTGTTTATTTCTTATTTTAAATTCACTGAAATTGAGAAAATAAATGTCAATTATTTCAGATTAATATAAAACATGTATTTTTGATAATGTATAACACATAAGACTTTGATTGTCTGAATAGTGTACAAAATACTGATAAACCATGATATTTCGCACATAATTTATTAGTATTAATCATACAGTTTTAATCATACAGTTAATAATACAGTTTTAAGTTCATTATAAGTTCACTAACACACTGATAGACATCGGATATAATTAACAATAATATAAACAATTTTTAGTAGACCTTTAATTTAAGTGTTAAAAAATTTACTTTTATTGATTAATTTTTCAAATAGTTTTAAATCACTATTTATATTCACTATTACAATTTTTATTAATTGATTTTTATTGATATAAAAATATACAATAATCGCATAGAAATATTCAATAAAATCACATTTCATTTCATTACTGGAAAAATTATAGCAAAACTATAGAGATTAAGATTCAATTTAATGGCAAATTTAGAAAAATATTGATCTTGGTCATTTTCACGCATGCTTAGCCACAAAACCACTACTTTATGAGTTCTTCTGGTCGTTATGGATAGCAATCTAACGGACAAAACAAACCACACATTAAAAAAACAAAAATCACCAAAAATTAAAGCCATTCAACAAAAAACAAATACCGATTTGATCTCAAGATACTCGTGGAGGCCGTCCTCTCCGTTCTCGCGGCCAAAACCCGACTGTTTATACCCACCGAAGGGCACCTGCGGGCCGAGTGCGAGGAATGTGTTGACCCAAATGGACCCTGCGCGCACCTGTTGCGAGAAGTGCAACGCTTTGTTGATGTCTTTGGTGAACACACCGGCGGCCAAACCGTACTCAGTGTTGTTGCACCGGTCGATCACCTCATCGAATGTCTTGAATTTGAACAGCGACTGCACCGGACCGAAGATCT